GTGGCGTTTCTGACAGTACACAGCACCCGGGTCCGTGCGACATGGGCCAGCTGCTTGGGCTGGAACAGCCCGGCCACGTGTCTTAGGAGAGGGGCTCCCCCTGAGGGGCTGAGGGAGAATGCTGTCCCTCAGCAAGGGCCGCTCTGCCTTGCATTCCTGGTCGGGGTGAGTGTGCAGCCCGCCAGCCCTGGCAGGAAGTTCACGTGACCGGCCGCTGGCCAGGGCAGACAGATGCCGGGGGCGCTCTGCGTGCAGAACCAGGGCGGCGGGGCGGGCGGCTGGGGAGCCAGCCCTGCAGATGTTCCTAAGTGAAACCTGATGTGGCGACATGAGAATCTGCAGAACATCTCACAAACAACCTTCCCTGGGATGTTTTGGATTGAATTTTGTGGCTATGACGTGAAGGAACCTCACATGTCAGGATAAAAATAGCTCTGGTCTCAATACACTACGCGAGTTACAGTTCAGCAAAACCAGATGCGAAAACATTAGCCACCCAGCGCAGGCTCGGCAGGGTCCCCGCACCATGCCCCGCCTTCCTGTCCTTCTGGGTCAGGGCCCGTGTGCCTGGACAGCCCCCATCTAGTGGCATCAGGATCCGCTGCCCTGAGGATGCGGAGGGGAAGGCCATAGGCTACGTAGGGCACCCGGGGAGTCCCAGGAACCTCTTGGATCCAGGCCCTGTCACAGACTAGCAGGGCAGTGGAGGCGGGATGGCTTCTCCGAGGCCGGCTCCTCTCCTGTGAGCCACGGCAGGGCTAAAGAGCATCACACTTGGCCCAGCACAGGAAGTGCTCCATGGAGGGACAGCATGATGAGGAGGCTGGTATGGAACCAAGGGGGATAGGGTGGGGGAAGGACAGCTTCTGCACCAGGGGCCGGAGAGTGGGAGGCCAGGCGGGGTCTGGGGGTGTGTGTAGAGTCTATGGAATTGGAGGGGGTGCAAACCTCACGGCTGTGTGGACAAAAGCTGCAGTAATGGCACCATCTTGGGACCTGATCCAAAAGGCCATCACTCATCTGTGGGCCGGACCAGCTGAGGTCTGCAGGACAGGAGCGCCTGGGGCCAGGACTCACAGCCAGGCTTTCCAGCTGCTCAGCTCGGAGTCAGAGATAAGCTGACAGGCCACAGCAGGGCCTGCAGGGACTTCTAGCTGACGTGGCAGGGGAGAGTGGCCACACAGCAGTCTGCTACCAGAAAGAGCTGCTGCTGCTGCAGGGCGAGGGCTGGGGCCAAGGGCAGCACAGAGAGGGTGAGGAGGAAGGGATCCATCAGCAGGCAGGCCTGGGTGGCTGGGGCTGGCTTTCCATCTGGCGACAAGGGAGGGCCTGGCAGTGAGGGCACCAGAGGACGCCTTCCTGGGCAGTGGTGCTGGGGGGGTGGGGTCAGACACGCCGCCAAGAACTGCCAGGCCGGGGCCATAGCCTGGCACCCGCTGCTTCTTCCCCACGCAGTGTAAGCTTCCCGTGCAGGGCAGGGGTGGGACTCCCGAGCGTGGGGTGAGGAGTGCAGGCTCTTAGGCCGGGCTTCTTGCCCAACTGAGGTGGGAATGACGACAGTGCTCACCTCTGAGACTGCTGCGAAGAGGCCAGGGGCCAACCCACAGGAGTGGGTGCTTAGGACAATGCCTGGTCCTAACAAGACAGCCAATGCTGCAGCCATTATCATCATTACTGTTACTGCGCTTACTGGGGAATGAGCCCCAGAGATGGCTTTCTGGGCTTCTTCTAGAACTTCTTTCCTTGTGGCAACATTAAGATGCTGCTGACATTTGGCCACACCAGCCTGGGCTCCAAGGAACGAAACTGAATCAGAACGTTTCATTTTTGCCCGTTTTTAGAGGTAGGGATAAAAACGCTTTGGCCCGGTGCACCCTGCAGGGTATACTGACACGAGCAGTTTTCATTCCACCAAGGATGGGCCCCGTGGTGGGCAGGGAGAGCCAGGGAAAACTGGGTTCAGGGGCCCACCCTCCGCCCCAGGCTGCCACACGCCGCTGTGCTTGGCCAGGGACCCTGAGGCTGGCTGGGTCTCCCCAGGCCTGGCTGCTCCCTCTCTGGCAGTGGAGATGCCCAGGTCCTGGGAGCATAGGCACGTCTCTAGCAAGGGACTGATCCCTGAGGCTTCCTCGGTTCTGCTCTCTGCACAGGCCCAGGCTCAGGTGGCCTGTAGGCCTGCTCGTCACCCCTCGTCCCCAGAGCCTGGCAGGCCCTGCAGACTCCCCCGAGTGGAGTCCAGGCCAGAGAAGGCACAAAAGGAGCTGAGCCACAGGAGACCAAGGGGTGGGACACAGGAGAATGTGGTGTCCCTCTGCCAGCTTCCCTTAGACCCGCCTGTCTAGGCAGCTGTCTCCTCACTGCCCCCGAGGGCTCCTGCGAGGGAGGTGGGGCGGGAGGAGCAAGACCCGGGCCTCTGCTCACGCCACTTGGCGCAGGAGGGAGATATTTACGCTAGGCCAGGCAAGAAGAAAATCCCGTGTGGGCGGCTCTGCCTCGAGGGGCCCTGGGGACCACCGCAGTAGGAGCATTTAGGCCAACACAGCAGCCACCCAGGCGTGTCATGGGTCTGGCTTCCCCAGCGCTACGTGCGATCTGCACCATTGCACTTTACAGACCCAACGCGCAGGCGGCGCCATTGGTTCCCAACAGATGCCACCGACTTCGTCTTTCCTAGGCTCCTGCCTGCTCTGCTTTCCAGAAAGTCCCTTCACACCTTTGGGGCGCTCTGTGCTAAAGGAATACAGCACTGCAGCCTGCATGTTCTCAGAGCTGCGCCCCAGAGAGCCACAGCAGAGCAGAACCCGAACGGGGGATCATGTGGTCTTGCACACTTGTCCGCGTGCGCGGCCAGATGGAAACGGACAGAACGATCGCCTCGCATGCCCGAGAAGCAATGTGAGAAACAGCAGCTAGCAGAGGAATGAGTGTACACTTCCTGTATGCCTTCTGCCCTAAACACCACCCCACACGTCCCTGGCGCCTGGTGTGTGCCCTCCAGGCAGCAGAGGCGGGAGAGGGATGAGGCACGCTCCGGCTTCTGCCGATCTCCTGTTACTGGTTTGAGCTGACCTTTCAAAACCACCGACCCGTCTGTAAACTCTGATGCCAGCTGTGGACACGCACATGTGAGCACATGTGGATCGGCCTGGAGGTTCCCACACCCCCTGAAGCCCACACGTGGTCTCAGGTTAAGAGTTTGTGGCCCGGAGTTGTGGCTGTGGCTTATTTTTCTCCCTACATGGCTCCTTGGCTATGATGTCGTGGATTCTTGAAGCAAGAAGTGTTATTGGCTGCAGGCACTTCCTTGGTGTTCTTTCCAGGATGGAGTTTCTTCCCATCTGGCATAACTTGTTGTTTTTCTATGAATTCCCAGTGAGTTCCTGGCTGACATGAGGCAGTGTGACAGTCACAGTGAGCTGGGGCAGGAGTCGCCACTGCCTTAGCCTTGTTCGTGGCCCGCTCATCTCGGCAGGGCCAGGAGCTGGGATGCATAGCGCTCTGCTGTCTCCAGGGACCCCAGGCCAGGCCCTGGCCCCCCAGGGCACATACCCGACTTTCTCCCATCTGGGCTGCCCACAGCAGTTTCCTGGCTGATCCCTCCACGAGTGGGAACCTATGTCATTGTTGTTAGTGTCTCTGTGTCAGGCAGAAGAGAAAAACCCCCTACAGATGAAGGACAGATCAAAGAGGGTTGGGGAGATCCAGGTGTCCTGGCCCTGTCCCGAGGCTGTGCTACGCCAAACAGCTGGGCTACCCCTCTGAGGATGAGAGAGGATGCTGTGGCATCTGCTTCCAGGGCGGGGACCAGGGCTCCTCTGCCTGGTCATCCCCTGCAGGATGCCTCCTCTCGGCTGTGGCCCCTTTTCTGGTCAATTCTCACGGCTCCCTGAACCTGAGCCCTCTTCCTAAGGAAAACCCTCTGCTCCTCTCCCCATCTCGTCATAGCCCCCCTGTGCTGACCTGGGGATGCAGGATGGAGAAGGGACTCCTGTGCCAGGGGACAGGTGGGAGCCCCAGCATGGGTCCTGGGGTCAGGGGGTGGGAGCCACTTCCCTGACCACGGCCACCGGCTGCCTAGAACTGGGCTCATCGGTGGGAAGCGGCGGCATCCTGGCCAAACAAGACGGAGGAAGCTGGGCGGCCGTGTCGCCCCTCACTCCTTCTGTGCTTCAGCGGGGCATGTGCAGGCAGGTGGCCTGAAGCCCGGGCTCCTACGTGACACCTGCTGCCAGGGCTGGGGAGCCCTTGGCTTTCACTGTCATCGGGGAGATGTCTTTAATACAGCGGTCTCCGTGACTTGACCTGTCATGCCCTGGGGCATGGTCAGGCCTGCAGGGCTCCTGCGACCTCCTGTACCTCTCAGGCGCTGGGCCTGGGCTTTGGGCCAAGGAGAAGCCCAGGATTCGCTGGTACTTCCCCACCACTCGTGTCCCTGGGCGTTTTCCAGGATCGCGTTGCTGGAGGGAAGTGGCGCCGGCCTGGGCCCCGGGAGGAGAGCCGGGCTGCTGTCAGGAAGGAACCGAGGTCCGAGCACTAGAACGCCACGGCCACCTTCGCTTCCAAGGACTGCCGGAAACAGCCTGTTTGAATTATCCCGTCTCCTGTCGGGGCTGCCTGCCGTCTTGAGGGCTATTTTTAGCTTCTCGGTGAGGAAGGAAATGGCTGCCTCAGTCTTCCACCTGTGAGGCCTAAGACCAGGGCCCTTGGCTCCTGACTGGGGAGACGCTGCCCAGCTGACTGAGACGGTTTTGTGTTTAGCCAATGGCTCGGAAGCATCCAAGGTGCAGGAAGATGGGGAGAAAGGGCTGCTGGGTGGGAGGGCTGCCTGCCACTGGGGCCTCTCGGGCGGCAGGTCACTGGCAAGAAACCCACGGACCCCTCACACCCTGGAGAGCTCCGGGGCTCACAACAACAGCCCAAAGGAGCGCCCTAGCCCAGCACAAGACCCAGCACGAGCACCTCCAGGGTCGCTGGGGCCGGAAGCCCCAGGGGATACTTACCGGGAGTGGTGGGCAGGCCGGCTCTGCCGGGCGTGGGCACCTGGAGCTCTGAGTGGCTGATCCGGAGGTCAGGGCCATCGAGGGGGCCTGGGTCATCCGTTTGGCCTGCGGGGGAGGAAGCAATTTCTGCCAACACCTCTAGATCCTTCAGGACAACCTGGGGAGACAAGTGGAGCATGAGGATGAGCCTCTGCTGTCAGCTGTGGTGACCTGGCGAGAGGTGAGGTCAGCAGGTCTGCAGAGGACAGCAGGCTGGTGAGAGCCACCGAGACCACGGCTGCAGGCGTGCTCAGAAAGTAACAGAAGACACAGGCTGAAGAGAACACAGACTGTCCCGGACAGGGGCCCCAGGAGGAAGGAAGCTGGAACCTGAGGCCTGGCAAGTCAGCTGTCCCAGAAGCCCCCCTCTCTGGTCCCCAGAGAAGGCCTCTGAGGTGTCCCCAGGAGACAGAGGGCTCAGGTGAGGGTGTCACTGCAGCATGCGTTGCAGGGCCCCGGCCACGAGAGAATCCCACGGTGCCCTCCCGGCCACACTCTGCTGCGTGCAGCAGCCATAGCCCCAACCCCCACTGGTCCACAGAACAGATTCTTTTGCAGAGGTGACATCAGGCTACTGCAGACCCCAAAGCACCCTCCACATTTGGGGTGCAAGCTGGGCTCCAGGATCGAGCACTTCCTAAGGTCCAGACACATGGTTCAGTTCTCACTGTCTCCAAAGTGTTCCTACGCAGGTTTGGGGAGGGTGAGGCCTCCCCAGCCTGATCACCTGCTTGCTGAGATCTTCCAAGGAAGAGGCAGAGTGTGGGGACAGAGCAGAGTTGACTAAGGTCGGTGCTGTTACAAAGGCCCCAGGGCTGCCCCTGCAACCCAGAGAACCCACACACCCTTAGAAGCGGCCTTCCCTTGTACCACGCCTATCTTGGCCTGGCACCGAGAGCCCATTGTTCTGCTGTGGTGGGAATGGGGAGAGGGGCCAGGGACGTGCCCTGCTGGGAGGGGACTCGGTGTGCACGTGCGGGTCATCTGCCCTAGGGGCTGGCGAGACTTCCCCGCCACCTTCTGCTCACGGTGCTCCACACTGCGGTGTCTGCCCGCCCCTTCCTGCTCCCCACTCCTCTCTTGCTCTGAAGAAGGACTGTGCCTGTTCTATCCGCAGGTGTATCCCCAGGGCTGTCCCTGCCCCAGTAGATACTCAATGCGTGGATGACTATGCCTCTTTCTGGGCTATCCTGAGCCCAGGCCAAGAATAACCCTGGCAGGTGGTGGCCTCAGCCCTGGCCCAGTGGAAGCGAAGCAGCACCTGGTGGGCGGGGCCAGCTGCGTGGCACACGGTGAATGCAAGGTCAGGTCAAGGCTACGGTGGGCTCGTGTGGGATAACTGCGAAACCTTATAAATATACTAAAAATCTGTGAATTATATACTTTAAAAGGGCAAATTTTACTACAAAAAAAACAATAGAAAAAAGAAAAAGACGAGGCCTATCTCCTCTAAAGCTTGACAGTGGTTCCTGCCAATGCAGACGATGCGCCAGCGCCTCCTCCTGCACTGCCCTGTTGTCGCCCGACCTGGTATCCTCTTGGCCAACCCTGGCCTGGCCGGCTGAGGCCCCCTTCCCTTGCTAGCCCATTTTGGCCCGTTGGGTTTCTCCACGAAGTGTCACATGTTTGGCACACAAAACCGTCACCAGCCACGGCCTGGCCTCACCCAGGCACTCACGCGCACAGATGCCACTTCCCACTGTCTGATCGTGTCCATCCTTCTGTCCCTTCCACTCCCCGGCACTGGGATGTTCTCCTGACACCTGAGCCCTGGTCTGTGCTGGGGGCTGCGCTGGGTGCTGGGGCTGCAGAGTTGAGTCGGTGCCACCCCTGCCCACGGCCCAGCGGGCAGCAGAGTGGTGAATGGATTACCAGCATCTACGGCCATCGCGAGGGGCCGAACTCTGGCCTGCCCTTGCCTACAACAGTATACGCGATTCAGCAGCTCTCCAAACTTTCTTTTTCCTTTTTTTAGAGACTGGGTCTTGCTCTGTGGCTCAGGCTGGAGTGCAGTGGTACGAGCACAGCTCGTCACTGCAACCTTGAACTCCTGGTCTTAAGTGATCCTCCTGCCTCTCCCTCCAAAGTGCTGGGGTTACGGGCATGAGCCACATGCCCAGCCTCTCGGAGCATTTTTACTGGCTGGGCCTGTGGGAAATGGATCCACACTGGCTGAAAAGCGTAGCTGCTAACCAGCCCGTTCAGACGGCAGGAGCCAGGGCTGCCCCGGTGGCCAGGCCAATAGCCAGGGGTCCCTGGGGAGGTCTAGGTCCAGCAGGGAGGGCCCAGGCCTCTGTTCCCACTGAGGGAGGAGCCTCCATGGGCTCTTTCCTTCAGCGATGGAACAGAGACAGAGAGGAGAAGGGTGGGATGGGACACAGAGAGCACAGCAGTGTCACTGCAAGCGGCAGCAGCCCCTGAGCACCTGCCTTTGCAGGAGTGCAGAGGCTACGCCCCTCGGTGCTCAACTGTCCCAGCAAGTCACTTTCCAAAGGTCAGGGATGGGAAATGAGACCAGGGAATAGGGCTGGGGGGAGGGTGGGAGAATGACTCACCCAAAATTAAACAGTGAGGCAAGAATCAAGCCAACAGTTCCTCAAAAAGTCAAACAGAGTTGCCATAGGTATACTCCCACTCCTGGGTAGTTACCAAGAGAACTGCAAACATATGTGCACATAAAACTTATTTATAAATGTCCACGCAGCGTCAGCCCTAATAGCCAGAAAGTGGAAACAACCCAAAGGTTTATCCACTGAGAGATGGATAAACAGAGTGTGGCGTATCCATGCCAAGGACCATTATTTGGTAACAGAAAAAGATGAGGTACTGATCCCTGCCACAACACGGGTGAACCCTGACAACCTTTGCCAAGTCAAAGAAGGCAGCCACGAAACACCATGCAGTGCATGATGATTCCATTTGTATGAAATGTCCAGAATAGGCAAATCCACGGAGACAGAAGCAGATTAGTGGTTGCCAGCTGGACAGAAAGCGGGTAGGGAGTGACTGCTGATGGGTACAGGGCTTCTTTTGGGGATAATGAAAATGGTTCTGGGCTACGTGTGGCGGCTCACACCTGTAATCCTAGCACTTCGGGAGGCTGAGGCAGAAGGATCGCTTGAGCTCAGGAGTTTGAGACCAGCCTGAACAAGAGTGAAACCCTGTCTCTATCAAAAATAGAAAAATTAGTTGGGTGTGGTGGTGCGTGCCAGTAGTCCCAGCTACTTGGGAGGCTGAGGCAGGAGGATCCCTTGAGCCCAGGAGTTTGAAGTTGCAGTGAGCTGTGATGACACCATGGCATTCTGGCCCTGGCGACAGAGTGAGACTCTGTCTCAAAAAAAAAAAAAAAAAAGAAAATGTTCTGGAATTATAAAGTAGTGATGGTTGCACAATCTTGTGAAAACACTAAAAACTACTGTATTATACACTTTAAAAGGATGAATTTTATGGTATGTGACTTGTATTTAAAATAAAGAAAAGTCAGCTCCCTAAAACTCCCAGAGTCCAGCGGTCCTCATGAGCACTGTGCTCTTGCTCTGCTCACAGCCCGAGGCGGTGGGGTCTCCAGATCCCCAGGATCTCACAACTGACTTAGACTCGGGGAGGTGGGGGTCTCAGGGAGGCGACCTGTGTCTCCTTGCAAGGCTTTGCATCTGCGACTCCCTCCCCCATGCTGCCTGCTGCACTCAGGTCTGTCTGTGCAGGGGGACAAAGGCGCATGCCTCTGGCAGCAAACAGGTGGTCACATGCAGCAAAGGAGAACAGCGTGAGTCAGCAAGGCGGCTGGCACCAGGCCACATGGTGGACATACTGACACATTGACCTGTGTAAGTGTCCAGTGGGTGCTAATTTCCCCGTCAGGAAAGGTGCTCAGGAAGAACCACCAGCACCGGAGGGTTCTGGCCTGTGCAGCACTGTCTCTGCCCTCTGAGTGGCCCCAGAGCCAGGCTGCAAGGGACAGGGAGGCCAGCAGAAAAGGCTGTCCTCACTCCTGGCCACAATTAATGTCCACACTTGTCATCAGACCCACCTTACACACTACCCATGAGGAATCTGAGGCTTGGACACTGGCTCAAGGTAACAGGAAACCCACCTCAAACCCAGCTCTGGTACCCAAACCTGAGTTTGTTAACAATGCTCCACAGCGCTTTGTGGCCAGACAGTCCTGATGTCCAGTCCTGGCCCTGCCACTCAGCTGCTGACCCTGGGACAGTTACCTTCATGCACACAACCTCCTCCCCCAGACATCCACCGAGCGGCCTCCACGGGCTGCTCCTGTGTTGGCTGCAGGACAGGCAAGGCAGGACAGGACAGGCTCTGCCTCTGATGAGGTCACAGACTCCTGGAGGACACATTTACTGACGATTACAGCACAAGTGTCAGGGAGCTGGCAATTCTGCCAGAGAAGGGCCCGGAGGCTGACCCAGAGGCTTTGGAAGTACTCGAGCATGAGCTGGCCAAGGGAACTGAGGTGGGGGAGAGAGGCACTCAGAGCTTTCTCTTACCTAGCATGAACCATTCGTGGAGCCGAAAGACTCGGCACATTCCAGGAAACTAGACTTTTGCTCTAGCTCCGGAGTGGGGAATGGGGCTGGGGGTCAGGGAATATGGCCAGAAATCAGGCCAAAGTGGTGGAGCTTACGACCTAGATAAAGAAGTCTGAACTTCATTTTGCAGATGATGAGGGGCCTCAGTTTCCCCATATGCGCAAATGGAGACTTAACCTCTCAAGGCTGTTGTGAAGATTATAGGAGACACTTGATGTGCAAAGCACAAAAAGTGAGCACACGAGGAAGGCTGGCTCACCACCCTGGGCAGTGACAGCGGTGCCCACGCTAAGGGCTTCCGACCCCACTTCTCCCCCAAAAGAGAATGTGCATCACCCACCTCTGGACCGCTGCCTCCTGCCCCACTGGAGAGCGCAGCCAGCAGCCAGCAAAGCTGCATATTTCACATTTTGAATTCTCTTATTTTAGAAAGTTTAACACCAAATGGCAAATGAATGCAAATTATACTTCAATTGCACAATTAAAGCCGGAAATGTTGTGTACAGGTTCCTTCAGTAATCCCTGCCACTCCTCTAGTGCTTACACATCAAAGGATTTGTCTCTGGTCCCC